TTATCTAATACAATCTATAAGTCAACTTGTATTTTATAAAGATATTAGATAAGTAGTATAAGAAGTTAACATTCTATTTATATCTAATCTCTATCATAAAGTGTCTAAAATTATGTACTATTACCACCTGGTTATGATCGCAATCATTTACTTTCAATATACTAACTATACTCAGGTGTACAAATTAACCCCAGGCTTCTAATCCTTAACCCTTACATCAATATTTGGATTGATTCAATATTTTTACAGTTGGTAATGATTGTTTTGTGGCTTCTATGAGTTCAGTGTATATCAGTTTTGTTATGAAATATTGAATCCTCACAGGGGCAGTATGCAAAATTGTAAATATTAAAAAATGTTGTATATTATAAGCTGAACTTACATGAAAAGATTTCTAAAATATGCTATTTTGATATTTCTAGATGGGTTAATTAAAAACAGAGAGTACTAATTGTTAATTAAGCAGTTTGACCTAGTTCTGATTTTAGACCCTAAACAGCTCAATATGTTTTGGCTTTTTTTAATTTTTCTACAATTTCGCTTATTATAGCGACTGTCTTAGTGCTTATCATCATTTTCTCATTCTACAGGTATCTGTACACTGAATTGAAGATCAAGCTACTATGGCAGGTATTACTCAATGGAATGACATGCTTAACCTTCTGGAACACCTGATACCATCCAGCCTATTCGATTTATATCATTAAATTTGAGTTATTCACATGGTTAACTTCCACTTTCTCTCTATCCAAACAATGTTACCTGGATGAGATCAGCCTAATCAAAATTAGACCAAACTTTTGTTCCGTTTTTTATTATCTTTTATTTTTCAAAAGGTTATTTTGAAAAACGTTTAAGAGAGATGGCCTTGGGCCTTAACTGAAGTGGTTATATTAAAAATAAAAGCTTATAAAAAAAACAACAAGGGAAGTTTGTCTAATTTCAATTAAACTGGTATGAGATTTTAAGCCTGTCAAGGATCATATTACATAAACAGCTTTTTATTCCATACTAATCAACTGTTTTCACCAGTTAACCAGTTACAACTTACACATCAATAGTCTACACATAAAAAGGCGATTCGTTTACAAATCAAAAGGAAACTTGTTCGCAAATTAATAGGTAACCTCAAAAGATAACTCGTCTACAAATTAATAGGTACAGGTAACTTCTAAAGATAACTTGTCTACAAAATAATAGTTAACCTCTGAAAATAACTTGTCTACAAATCAAAAGGTAACCTCAAAAGATAACTTGTCTACAAATTAATAGGTAACATCAAAAGATGACTTGTCTACAAATCAAAAGGTAACTCAAAGATAAATTGTCTACAAATCAAAAGGTAATCTCAAAAGATAACAACTTATCTACAAATCAAATGGTAACTTGTCTACAAATCAAAAGGTAACCCCAAAAGATAACTTGTCTACAAATCAAAAGGTAACCCCAAAAGATAACTTGTCTACAAATCAAAAGGTAACCTCAAAAGATAACATGTCTACAAATCAAAAGGTAACCTCAAAAGATAACTTGTCTACAAATCAAAAGGTAACTCAAAACGACAAAAGATAACAATAACATCCCTACAAACCAAAAGGTAATCTCAAAATATAACATGTCTACAAATCAAAAGACGGCTTGTCTAGAAATAAAAATCAATGTTAAATGATGAAGAATTATAATTCTATTCTTATTGAATGTAGACGGTCAAGGTCTGGATCTGCCAAATAAGAAGACCATAAGTTGTCAAAATTTAAAGAATAAGATTATTCATCTGAACTTACCTTTGGTCTTACAGCAAATTTACTCCACAATTTTACTGAGCAACAAACTTGTCTGACAGGCTATAGGATAAGGTTAGTTTAAACTCAAAAATAACAAAACGGTAGGCTACCAGTCAAACCAAAACTCCAATCACTAAATAATTGATTATAAAATATGATGCAACATCAACATGTCTTGG